AGCCACTCCCACGTCTGCTCGTCTATGATGTTTCGGGTAGCACCGGAGTCAATGAGTACTTTCAGGTTCACTCCTGCCGCACAAGCACGGATGGTCGCTTTGTTACTTCTGTTGGTCATTTGGAATGTATAATCGTCGCTTTCACTCTCACCAACGAAGTTGGTTTCGAAGTGATCTTTGCCACCACACTTATGGCGTTCTTTTCCTTTGGCGAGACAGGATGGATCGTTACCAAATGATCTGTGGCACTTTGTTGTATTTTAACCACAACAAGAAACAAGATGGCCACACTTATTCTGCTTTATCCTCCACGTGCAGTTATGCTAATGAATTACATACATGCATAATATACGGAAGTAAATCTCTCTAGTAAGCGGAAGTAATATCTTACAATTCCCCCCTCAATAATTCTGGTAAACTCAACAAGTCCTAGCTATCTTTGACCTAATAGCTTAATGTTCAAAGTCCTTAAATCTAGAGGGCGTTCGCCAACCCTCCCAGATCTGGTAGTCTTGACTTTGTGTGGTACTTCTTCTGGCACGCCCACCACTGGCGACAATACAGTAGGGTCTTGCTCCAGTTGTGGAACATCTCCTGGTGATTGGTCCGGTTGGTCCAATTGACTCAGTTGACCCAAAACTGCTTCTGTGGTTGAAATCCCAACTGTCGAGATCGGTGGAGGTATGATGCATGGTACAGCCTCGGTTTCTCCATCATCAGTGTATTTGGCTACTCTTGTCCGTAACTGATCAGCATGCCACTTCCAGACCATGCCCTTGGCACTAACATGATATAGCACCGGACCCACCTGTTTACTTCTTTTACGACTTCACCTGGAACCCATTTGACACCACTAACAAAGTTTCTGGCCCAAACCTTTTCTCCAACAGTGAACACTTTCATGGGTTTGGTCTCGCTTGTGAGGAGCTTTTTATCAACTTGTCTCTTCACGTCAGGCTTAAAGTGTTTATGAAACCAAATGTTCGACCTCCGTGTTATTTTAAAACAACAAAATTTAACATTTTCCGAGTATCGTGATGCTATTTTTTT